GCCGGGTTTCTGTTAACATAATCAAATGGTGTAGGAGTGTCTCAGCTTCAGACTAGACTACTTAATTAGAGGCACAGCTAGTATTAGAGAACTGCCATGAAGCAGTACATATTCCTGCAGAGCCCATTAGGGAAAAGGAATGTAAAATTTTCAGAAAGTTTAAAAGATTCACAAATAAGTTGCTCTGAAAAAATTAACCATTTTCTGAATTCTAAAGAAAAATTAAGAGCTAGGAGATAATATATACCCTAAGTAGTGTTTTTGTTAATAATTAAGATGCACATATTTGTCTGTAATGAACAGGTCAGATTTCTTTAAGAAGCCTCATAAAAGGTTTTCCTTCATAAAGACATCTCTATTTGGTATTGTAAATGCCCCTCAGATTGCAAGTAATTACAGCAATAATGAGAACTGGAAAAAAATATTGTGTATTTCACGTAACATTTACAGTATTCCAAGATAAATTTAATAAAATACAAATTATCATAATTACAGAAAATCAGAGTAATCACTTTTTTAATACTTCACATGTAAAAATCATTGTCATGGTTATGTTTTAAAATAGCAAGAATAAATATTGGAAAGATAGCAGCTTTCCACCATCCCCATTAATACTGTTATGATTATTTTACAAGTGCTTTTGATTGCAAAATAAAGGCAGATTTGATATCATGATTCTTCCAGTAGTGTAAGTTACAGTAGCATAAAGTTTGTTGTTTCTTAACATGTTATCGTACCTAAAGAATAAAATACATCATAGTTTGCCCAAAGTGTCACTATTAGCACAGACTAGAAGTTGCATATGCTTTACCTTCCCTCATGAAAAGACTCCCTCGCTTCACAGCTAGGAGATGCACCTTTCTTGAGCAGAGTGCAAAGGACTCATTTACCAATACAGATATCAGAATATGTGTATTTTTAAATACCTGAAAAAACAGAACTACAAATCTAGTAGGAGTAGTATGTTTGACTAGAGCTTTTTGCTATCCATACATTTTAAGAAATCCAACACTGACACAGTATTAAAGTAGCTACTGTTTTCACTCCCACTTTTCAAAGTTCATTAAAACTTGCATGGATTCTTTACACTGTTTGAAATCTTTGATATGAAGATATTCAAACATTTGTACTTAACTTGGGTGGGTTTTTTGGTGTTTTGGGTTTTTTTTGGTGTTCACAGATAAAGAGGAAACTGCAGAAATGATGATGAGATGGAAGTATACCCTAACTGCTCAGTAATTCAGAAAGTGAAATAATAAAGAAATACATCATTGACATTCTCTAGCTGCAAATAAATACAACTATATACTGACAGAATAAATATGCCAACATTCAGTTCCCAAAAGCACAGTTTGCAAGGCAGTTATATTTTAAATCCCCTAATCTGGAGCATCAAGTGTGATGCAAGAAAAAAATTAGCCTACAGTACAGTCACTGCTTAAACATATCAAAGCTAGTTTTAACTTTTTTTAGCTGTGATACTGTCAGGACTAGAGCTATAGTAGCAAAGAACTCATCAAGAGTTGCCACAATCTGGCATCATAGAATCATAGAATGGTTTGGGTTGGAAGGGACCTTTAAAGGCCATCTAGTCCAACCCCCTGATCAACTAGATCAGGTTGCTCAGAGCCCCATCCAACCTGGCCTTGAATGTTTCCAGGGATGGGGCATCTACCACCTCTCTGGAGGTATAAATCCTTAGGCATGTAGCCCCCAAGCAAGGTCTGCATTATTTGTACTAGAAGTAACCAAACTAGTTTAAAACTAGCTCAAGTACACAGCAAATGCTGTGCAGGCATATCCCTTATTTCTACAATGTTCTTTTACAGTTGTACTCCATGCTTCTTTGTTGAAAGTCTTCTGGATTTAGTCGTATGAACTCATAGTTACTTCTCAAAACACACTTTAGATTAATTCACCTACATGTGCACATAATTAGAGCAAGAGTAACTGTTGGTCACCAGTGAACGCTATGGATGAAACGTGGCTTCACTTATGAACTTGTTACTTAAACACCCAGCATCCAGGGGATCTCTGAGTGCAATCCAGAGAACTCCTGAGATATTTTCAGAGCTCTAATTCCCATGCTTTCAAAATGCAGACACTGGTTACTCCATTACTCTACTGCAACATCAAAAAAAGGTCAGCGGATTCCCACCTTAATGAGCTCAGAATTTCTATGTTAGCAACCGAAATCCCACTGCCATTAATTTATACAGTCAGCTCCTCACATTATTGTATCCCAATGAAAACTGCACAGAGGGCTTACGCTAGGGACTAGTTAGCTTTTGTATATAAAATCCGGACCAAGTCTCCACTGAAAATTCTGTTTGCAGCCATTCCACTGATTTCTGAGAGGGGAAAACACAGGCCCCACAAAGGCTCGATCCAACTCTCTGAAGTCAGCAGGGGCTAAGTAAGGATACTTCACAAGCATTCAGAAAAACAAACACTCCTTCTATAATTTTTCTGTTAGCACTGAATTAGATCCCTTTGTAACTTCCAAGAGTTAAAGAACTTGAACCTTATTTCATCCAAAGATTTTTACAAATAAACTTTTGGGCAATGAGATACAAATTTTAAAATTAGAAATATCGAGTCTAAGAACATTCATGTGGATGGATGTCCAAGAACGTATACTACCCCTTTCATGTGAGGCTGAATTCAGGATAGCATTTCTAAGGAGACCTAAAATAAATTAATAGGTGCTAACATGAAGTTGCTAAAGAACAATCTGAATAAAAAGAGCCTCATTTTCTCAACTTCCACTCCCTGATACAGCCACAAGATTTTGATCAAGCTTTTACAATATACAAAATACCCAACCTAAAAGCCCTCCTACAGGTAATCTGGAAATCACATGAGCTTGAATACATGTTCAACGGCATGGCTGTCGTTTTCACCTAAGAACAGAACTGACAATTATTTTATATCTGACGATTTATTAATATAATTATTTCTATACAAACAGTATTTTTCCCCTTCATAGTAACAATTCAGTGTTTTAAAACAGGCAGATCAATATATTACAAATACCACTACTGTTAGAACGCATGATGTACTAAATCACAGGAGGTAGTTAGATTCCCATTAATAATTACTTCAGAAAACAAAGACTATTTTTAAAAATTAGTAGAACACCTCATTCATGAAAACTTACTTTTCAGAGTAACTCATTTCTAACTGCTTTAAGGGAGGTCTGCTTTTTAAGGATGATAAAGAATTTATGACAGAAACATGTTCTCCTTCAGTTTTCAATGTAACTTTGCAATAAGCACATAAGAAAACTCCCAGGTGGTAAAGACTTAAGACAAACTGCAATAAAGGAACATTTTAAATTAATCAAACTTCCAAAGATATAATGAATTTGACCACATCTTTTACCTTATGATTCCATTTGAAAATTCATTCAACTAACTACGGTTTAAAAATATATCTATACCAATGAAATTAATGTGAAGCTTTTTTACACTGTTAATAATTGGCATTTTTGAATGGCATTCAAATGCATGATCATTATTCTTTTTGCAACAACTTACTGCAAAATACAGGCACCTTAAAAACAGACACATAATGCAACCAGGGCATCTGGGACATTAAAAGTGTTTACCATTATCTAGTCATGCTATGTATTCCCCTTCTTTTAAAGGAATACTCTACAATTTGAAGCCGTGCCTGAGGTGTGTGCAAATTATGTTTCAGCATTTAATTCAATTTTCACATTATATTTCTTCTACAGTTACAACTGTAAAAGTCTTAAGCAGACATCGTGTCTTTGATAATGTATTCTTGCTATTGCACATATGCTCATATGACAGTGAAACTCTGGTCCATATTCAACTATTTACACATGCTAAAATAATTTATCTGCATATAATCTTGGAAAAGAAAAGAATATAGCCTTTCTTGACCAATACACCTTGCTCCAAAATTTATACCACCGAATTTCATAGAATCATAGAATACCAGGTTGGAAGGGACCTCAAGGATCATCTGGTCCAACCTTTCTTGGCAAAAGCACAGGCTAAACAAGATGGCCCAGCACCCTGTCCAGCTGAACCTTAAAAGTGTCCAATGTTGGGGAATCCACCACTTTCCTGGGGAGGTTATTCCAATGGCTGATTGTTCTCATTTTGAGAAATTTTCCTCTCATGTCCAATCAGAATCTCCCTGGGAGTAACTTGTACCCGTTACCCCTTGTCCTCACCATGTGACTCCTTGTAAAAAGGGAGTCTCCATCTTCTTTGTATCCACTCCTTAAACACTAGAACATGTATTTTATGATTTTATGAAGAACAGCCCACCATTCCATCTTTCTGCTTATACAGGGTCTGATTCAAAGACCACTGAAACCAAAAGAAGACTTAATTTAATTCAGTAGATTTTGGACTAGGCATAAAGTTCAAATAGAAAAATTATAGAAAGTGTTTAGTAATTGATGTAACTGCACTTTGGATGCATTAAGATGCTCTAACAGCATCTGTTAAAATATAAAAAAACCTCCTTCCAAAAAATCCTCTTCCTAAAACTTACAATGTTACAGTTCAAGTTGAGCCCTAGGTATATTTGTGAAGTTTACCCTCTATTAACTTTCGGTCATGACACAAAAGCCCACACTGAAGCACAACAGTATCTACAATAGAAGAAGCATATTCTTGTCATAAGTAGTAAAGTTATCATAAAGGTGCATTTCCAAAACAGTTGTTCCTTCATATTCTTTTTTTAAACAGAAATGGTCTTTTCTGGTTCAGTGATATATAATAAATACAGTATTTTCCAAGCAATGAATTTTCTTTAGTTTTGAGGAGCTTAGACATCATCAAATATTTTGCTTCGAGACATTGACAGGTATCTTCCACCAGGCTGGTACCTGCAGAATCAATTTTAAATATGAAAAAGTATCACAGGAAATAGAACAATAAAGACCCACGAAATCATGTAACTCTCACTGCACTCTTACTCCTTACCTCTCAATTAATTACAGGATCTGAAGTTCTACTGTATTTCTGTTTCCATGAGAATTTGATAGGCAGCCATTAAATTAAATCTCATGTGACCAAGAAAAACAGTAATATGAATACTGGGAGTCTTAAATAACTTTGTTTCCTGATACAAAGGAAAGAAGCTGAATGTTTTTGTTAAACAGAACATTTTTTCTTCCCCCTCCCCCCCCTTTTTTTTTTAAATAAAACAATGCAAAACAACACCATCCAAAAAGTAGTTTGGGTGATTAACAGAACATCTCATTGGGTATTCCTAGGAGAAATACAGTATTAAAGATAATGAAAACAAATGGCTGCATACTTAGTGGGGAAAAAAGAAGCTTCACAAACTGTTGGTCAAATATATTTTTAAAGCATTTTAAAAGCACAAAGAAGTTCCAATGCAAGCACAATGTACTTCCTCACTGCAGTACTTACCAAAACCTGAACAGACACAAAGCCAGACCCTAGTGTCCCCAGTGCTCTTACTGTCCTAGAATGCTTCTAACTATTGCAGGAGCTATAGTTTTAAAAAATCAATGTTACACAAGCTATTTTTAAATTAATTGAAATTTCATATGCAATTATTCTTGATTTACTACCTCTATGAAATGAAATGCAGGTTACTAGAGTAAAGCTCAATTAAGCTCTGTGGCTCCAGATTTCTTTTTAAAGAAAAAGTTCAGGATGTTCCACTCTGCAAAGTCTGTATAGGTGCCAGAAGACTTCAGATACTGTATTTGAAAAGTATTTGCTCCAACAGTTATATAGGCATATTCCTATTTTTGTAGATCATTATCCCATTCACACTGTATAGAAGTCAACAGCTGACAACTAGTCTAGCAGCTCAACTGCTAGGCTAGTTCCTCTTTAAACTCTTGTGCTTAAAAAGAACCAACTTTTGAAATGTGGTGACATTAAACTAGACAAGTTAGTTGTTGATACAAACTAACACTGCTGAATCAATCTGTAAAACCTGGCAGTGCCATTTAACAGCATTCATTGCATGTTTTTGAACTGGCATTTATTTTTTTACATTATAGATATAAAGTCAACTGAAACCACTTGTGATTTTTCATTGGATTGGGTATGCTAGTTTTAGCTGAAAAATAATGTAAACTGTTACCTATTAAAAGGGAATTTAAAATTATTTATCATTAAACGGTTCTACATCATAACTAGGTAGATAAAAAAGCACCCATAAAATGTATTACTTGTTTCTTAAATATGAGCAGAGCTTAGCAGTTATATAAGATACTCTTATTTCACGGCTAAGGAAATTTAGTGTTGCATTTACACCCACAGAATTCTCTATTATAGACAGAGCTACACTGTGCAGTCTGGGACTTTTTGTTCAGTAAGTTCAGATTTTAATTTACTCTAGTAGTTCCAAGATCTGATCCCCAGGTGTACTCCTCCAACTGCTGCTCCTGTAATACTCAGTTTTCTTTCTTGCAGCCCTTTATAATGGTTTTTATACAGGGAAATCAAGTGAGCTTTCTGAAGTCTTGTAGGGAATTAGAGAAAACCTTATATTGTACATATGCAAGTCATTCTCCAGTTTTTTGTTATTATATACAGTATTTTTCAGATTATTCCAATATACAAAATTATATTCAACTCCAGTCTTACTCAGATATTTCTAAAGAACTGAAAAACCTTCAGGTTTCAATTGGTTTTAAAACAATTCCCATATCATGGGGGAGAAGGAAGAAAGGAAAAGAGCTAGGTGAGATGATAAATTTTGTTTACAAAACTATTACTATGAAACCATCTGATATAGCTGTTATAGGTCAGAAGACAAAGACATTTGTATCTTTTAATTGTAAATAACACAGAAAATCCCTCACCTTCCTGAGTCCGATTCAAGAGGGTCATCATTAATTGAGTCTGCATTAAAATCCAAAGGTTCTGCATCCTGGAGGAGTTCTATTCGATCTCTTTCAGTCCTACCGTTTGATCGGGTATACTTTGATAGTGCTGAATAGGTAAAAGGAAGGAAAGACACTAATTTGCTCTACGAACATCTTGGAGTGTGTGGAGACATCAAACTTAAAAGACCAGAACAATAATTTGGTAGTATCTCACCCAAAGTGTAAGTGTGATGATTTAGAGTAGATTCAATATTAAACCAAATCTGGTTACATGCTCAAATTTGTAGTATTTCATTTTTTTGTCTCCACAGCAATGTAACTACAACTTTTCTTTTGCCCCTCAAGTAGGATGAGATCTACTTTGCAAAGAATCAAAGAAAATGAGAAGTTATATGCAAACTTTACTTTTAAATCAATCAATCATCCATTCATCTTCCCAACTTCCCACTTAACTAAGCTAGCTGGAGGTTTTTTTGGTTTGTTTTTGTTTGTTTTTAAAGAGGCAATCTCATGAATTAACAAAACATAGTTGTTCTGCAGTTCACTCTCCCACCTTCATTAGGCCAGTACCTATGGCTTGTTTCGAAGTTGGAATGCTACATATATATATGGTTAACATTAAAATATAATTTCATATAATTTCAGTTAGTCTACCACTGAAAATCTGGGTTTCCAACTTTGTAAAGAGGAGGGGGAAATCTACCAGAGTTGTCTCAACAGCATGTTCAAAGCTTCCCTCCTCCTCTCCCTTTTTCCTTCTTTTTTTCAGTTTCATTTCTCACTTGCTTACAACAGCACTTAAAATAAATAAAAGACATTAACACTGTGACAAATAAACTTCTTGGAAGTTCAGCACATCCACAAAAAAGTTTTTTGCTAACACAAGTTATTAAATGAACACGTGTAACATATCCTGTGATATGTTATTGGCTTTACATTTGTTGGTAATTTATTTGATTATTCCATTATTCCAGTCTGAGAGAGTTCATCTGCAACTAGAAGAGGTAAGTTTTAAGATTTTAAACTCCCAACTTCAAGACATATCCTAAATAAAGTCTCTTTGTTGACAACTGCTGCTCTAATTGCAATCATTATATGTCCTGTAAGAAGACCAAGTAATTGAGACTAGTCAGAATCTCCAACCTCAACTAGTTGAAGTGTTGAAGATGGGAAGAAATGCAGTATGGGCAAGATAGCACTGTGCCACAGAAGGGCACAACTATCAGCACATTATCTAAGACAAAAAGGAATCTACTTGAAGCTACTCACACAATCAGTGTTGTGCAGACAAGGTATTAAAAAACAAAACAAAACAAAACAAAACTCCCTTCAAAACCCACAAAGCTTACATCTATTGGTATTGGTCTCTGAGAAGCTGGATTCTTTTTGGTCTGTGTGGACAACTCTGCTTCTAGTGGAATCATCTCTATTTCCATACCGCTCCTTCCACTCCTGGGAAAAAGACAACAAAAGAAAACACAAGCTGTGAGGAAAAAGTAACACAACAAAAGCATACATAGGATCAAGAAATATTCCAGACCAACAATTTAGAGCTAATTGGTCAATCACATCAGACTATGAAAGTAATACTTTGAAAATGTTCCTGTTCAGTATCTTGATACAGGAATACTTTTTGTTTTGTTTTAAACTCAAGATATGTCCCTTCACTAAACCGGTTACCATAACTGTTGTTTAGAAAAAAGACTTGCAGAAAACAAACTACATATTAAATGTGCACTCAAAGTTCATACAGCGGCTCCAAGTTACAGCGGGAACGTTGCCTTTTTTTGATTTTGACTTCCATCTAGTGGTATAATGGTAAAATAACCAGATGCAGACAGCACAAAAAAAAACATTTGGACAGGCCATGTTTACTAAGCTTGTTGTTCTGTTGTGTTTCCATTCTGTCATGTTTTAGTATGTAAACATTTTAGTATGAAGTATAATGAAATATTCATGAAGAAAATGTCTCATGCTTTTATGAGGAGACAACTTCATGTCTCAACAGAAACTTTTCCAATTGGTCCAATAACTTTAATATGTTTCATATGCTTCATATCTAGATCCCAGATTATGGACTGGTAGGAACTGGTATACTTGAAGTTACTGTGCTAATTTATGCCATATGTTACAGTTCTAAGCTGCAGAAGGATCAAGCATTTAATCATGATCCAGTAAAAGATAACACTCTCAAAAGCCCCAGAAGTTTCAAGAATGAATGTGCTACAGTATTCAATGCAAACTCAAAAAAAAGGTAACATCTGAAACGGAGTTTGCTGTTGAACTAAAATTGCTGCTTAATGTCAGATCACTTCAGTGTATACTACATGCATCATCCATTTGCTACTATTTGGTTTCACAGTAAGTTCAAATTCTAAAATTATGAGATGGGGGCAAGAGGATCAGAAGGTGTATGCAATATTGGCTGTCATCGAGAAATGAAGAATCCCTGAGCTTGAAAACCTAAGAGCTTTTAGTCCCGTTATTATCTTGCCTTTCTGCAGAAAATATTTTTCCCCCTCTTTAGTCAGTTCACTTTTTGCAGGCATCCTTTTGATTTCTCTCTTGATTGTGACTTTCTATATACCAAATGTTATAAGTTAATGACAAACTAAAGCTATAGTTAACTGAAGCCCCTTAAAATGAAGCTGCCTGAATTATTTTTTATTCAGGTTGACTGCCTTCACAAATCTTTCAACTCAGTATGCACTCGAAAGTATGATTTGGATCAAACATTCTGTTTGTTACTCAGTAGTAACAGTATTAATTCTGTCTTAAATGTAATTCCCTCCTCGGGAATCTGTGCCAATTGCTTTCCAATGAGCACACAAAGGAACGGGTAAGTTTGGGAGAAGCATACAGTGCCCATACAGTGAATACGATGACACTGTGACTGCAGTTATTTCAAGCAGAGCAGTATCAACATAAGAGACTGATAATAAGCCATTTCAGATTACTCTGCATCCTAGAAATCAGGACCCTTGTTAATGCTTGTTACGCATATAGGCATGCACCGTTCTCACAGCACACTGAATATCAAAAATTTCCAAGTAGTGTGACCCAACTGCCCTCTTATCCTTTAAAATTAAAATGTAAATTATTTTTTCCCCTCAGCCAAGATTATTCTGCAAGATTAAACTGATTCTATCAATTATTGGAGAATTATTTTTTTGTGAAATAGATCATGCTGAATTAAACAGCAACGGCAAATCCTCTCAGATATTGTAGTATACTAATATCATAATTAGCAAAAACAATCTCATACCCTTCTTCTGTTTTCACCTTCTTCCTGTCTTTGTCGTTTTCTTTTCTCTATAAATAAAAAAAAAAATTGTCTGAGGTCCATACAAGAAAAATCATTACCAATATTTTTTTTAAACCAACAATGAAAATCTGAAGTTAACTAGCAAGGATTCTTATTGAAATAGATGGCTCATACAATTAAATAAGAAGAAAAGACAAAGCTGCTGGTCTATCATTAAGGAGTTTCCCATTAAAATGAATTGATCATGATGATATCTTGGGTCAAGGCATAACATTTGGATACCAGCTGGCAAAGCAAAAAAAAAAAAAAAAACCTCTTAGAAATAGCTGGAGAAAGTATAACATTAGGAAGAAACTTTAGCATTATTGAATCAAAATCTTGCTGAAGTTCTAAGAGGCCCAAAGTATGACCCTAATAGTTTGTGTCCTTATCTGCTAGAAGTGTAATATCACAGTATCAAATAAATAGTAACCTCTTTAAGGGAATGAGACACATTCCTCTTTCTCCAAAACAAAAAAAACCCAACCCCTATTACTCTAAGTAAATCTAGGGTTTGTTTTTTCATAAACTAGGAAAGAAGAATGAAAGTATTCCATAATGTAACATTGTATCCACAGATTTTAATCTCTAAACATTTACTCAAGAACCACAATAGCTTTTAACAACTTCCAAGAAACACTTTCAATAAAAATTAACATTTAAAAAATTAAAAAGCTCTCAAAACCAGCAGATAATTACAGCTCTACAGAACATGCTTTGTGTGATAAAACACAGTTAGCTGAAACAGCAAAAAATCCTAAAGACAGAATTTGGGCAGCTTGATCAACATACACAAAGAACGATAAAATGAGTTTGTTGATGACAAAGACAATTTACGTGCTAACTATCCTTTATGACCGCTTACACAAGCACCTGCTCAGGTATTATTACCTCAGTAATGACTTCAGAGGAGCATCACTTAACTGAACTGTAAAATATATAGAAATAGCTATAATTCAGATACTGGATGAGTAAAGCTGATACTTCAGATGTCAATGAAGTCCAGCACTGTTTATATAGCAACCACAATGCTCTAAGTCTGTTGCATTTTGTGCACTTTTTGTCCCTCAGTACAGTTTTCAAAATATTGACAAGCTATATGCTTTTTTTATTGGTGTAGCATTTCAGACAAGTTTAACGCAACAACATATTACATTTTGCAGGAAGACTAGGATAGAGGACCTAACTTACCTCTCCTGATTAGCTCTTTTCCTTCATCAATCAAGTCAGAGGTCATTTCGCTATCCCCCATGAACTGCTGGAATCCCAAAAGATTCAAACAACGAGTTCCTAAACTGGTAAAAGCAGAAGGAGAAGCAATTGCCTTTGTTAATTTACAACTAATAGTTGAGATATATTACACTGCAAAATGTAAAACAAATTATTCAGAAATTTATGGACAATTCAAGTAAAAAAGCAATATAGATGAAAAGACAGATTATTATACTACCCGAGAAATCAGAAAATTCAGAACAGTGGCATGTTCCTAAATTCCACTGAAAGTGATGACATAATCCTACTCAAATAAAGAGACAGAATTGTTTATAGTCTGAGAGTAGTGCAGATGATTGAAGACAATTGCTTGAAATGTTCTCAGATATAACAGAATTTATACCTATGATATCTCACTGACTCTTCTTTGCCAGAAGACAATTACTATAAAAATGCTGCCTATTATGATTTCTCTGTTTTTGAAACAGTAATAACATAGGCAAGCCACCTTCATCTCAGATTTTACTCAGGAGAAAAATGTGACATACTCTTAAGCTGTGGGGATGCTGGCTGCCATTTTGGATACCCATTAGGCAGCAGTCAGGTAATAAGCTTGCGCCATCTTTTTTAAGCTAGTCCCTGGAACTAGATAGCATGAAATCACTTCCACCTTTTCAGTTTCATACCAGAGAACACAACTGCTGGTTTTGTTATTGTTTTCCTCTCTCCAAACTGGAGCATCAATATCATGTTTGAAGTTGGCTTCATTGTATATTTATGCTGAAAAGTTTTTTTCCTATACTATCTGAACTTTAAGACTGCTGGATTAAACAAGGAAAACAGCTTTCCTTGATAGATTTTAATTAAACATTCAGTTTTGCATGTATTTGCATCATTAGAGAGCACTAAAGTTCAAGCAAAGCAACTTCCTCTCCTTTAGTTTCTTTTCTTCCTTTTCACTATGGCATTCAAAACCCAGGATCATCATGGACAAGAAGTCGTACAATTTTCTTGTCATTGGCTTTCCTGTTTGCTTTTCATGTTTTTTTTTTTACCTCCACCACCATTTTTGTCACCTAACCTAAAAGTAAGCAGGGAAAACCTAGGACTGGATCCTTGTTGTCTTACTATCTATGGATGCACACAGGGTATTGATGGGCATTGAAGGCTTTAACTGCATTCTACATGTTTCAAAACATACATGTTGCTTCTGACTGAATGGTAATGCAAAATTGAAGAAGAGAACATAAATGTAGCCAAGCAATGTCAGACTGAAAGTGTCTCATCCCTTACAGCAGTCAAAAGCAGACATTTTGAAATGTAAGGATAAAGCAAGCATCTAACAGTATATTCTGCAATTACCCTTCCAGCCTCCAACAAATTGTGACTTATGGAAACAAGATCAAATGATTTCAAATCATTTCAAATCATGATCAAGTGCTTTCAAACTGAAGTCTGGTAACGGATCAGAAATTTTTCATGAGTCTGTTAGAAAGTTCATTACCTAAAGTTTCTGCTAATGCTTCTTAGTTTATTACAAAACCTTGATGGAAACATAGCTTCCTCATGGTAATTTTAATCTCAAAAGCAGAATCTAAATGTTTGTGGGCTCCAAAGTTTGAACAGATAAGATCTCAAAATCTAGGAATGAAGTTTAATGGGGAACCACCCCCCCCCCCCAATTAATTTATCAGTTAACACAATCCATATTCTTAAAATGTACGCATTTCACATATATAAAAAGCAATTTATTGTTTTCGTTTTTGCATTTTTATTAGTATGTCACAACTCAACTGCTGGAAGAGGAGAAGCAAATCTCTTCCTGATTGCTGAAACTAATATTATTAATGTAAAGAAACACGGAGGATCTGTCTTGCAATCACTTACCTGAAGTATGTGGCAATACAGAGAATGACAACAAGCATTGGGTAATATATATAGAATCCATCTGCAATGAAGGACAGCACTCTCATGGATCCCATTATCTGGAGAAAAAAATGCACAAGAATAACCTCTAATCAAATATATTCTACATATATGCATAAAGATTGTGCCACCTCACTATTTTCAGTCCACAACAAACAAACACACAATCCTTTACAGTTACTGAAACATAAGTAAGTACTATCATCACAGATCTGATTCAGACAGTTGACCCAGAATGCCCAGATATAAAGGCCACCTCTAACAGTGGTGGTAACACCTCCACCTCTAACACTTTGAGGTTACAGATGGTTACAGGCTAGATCTTGTTGTCTCACCTAATACAGAACCAGTTCAAATCCAGTGGATCTTTTCATCTGCTGTGAAAAGAGTCTCTGGACAACACTAACAATGTACTTGTTAACAACGTGAGATGTAACTTTCTGTCCTACAGAAATTGGTTGTTCAGTAAAACCAAGCTCATTGGTTTTCATTGGCAAGTTAGGTTTGCTCCCCATCTATAAAGATGTCCCATATGCTAAAGCCAGTGGAAGCTATTAGCACCACATCTACACCTCTTTTAAATACCTCCAGGGATGGGATGTGAACTCCTTCCCTTGGCAGCCTGTTCCAGTGCCTGACACCTTTTTTGGTGAAGAAATTTTCCTAATATCCAATCTAAATCTCTCCTGGAGCAACTTGAGACCATTTCCTCTTGTCCTATCACTTGCTACTTGGCAGAAGAGGCTGATCCCCACCTCACTACAACCTCCTTTCAGGATCTTACTACAAGTGGTATTTAAAAAATATTTTGCCTATTCTCCAAACCATATAGAAGCCTCAAAACCACATTTTCTGTACTTACAGATGTATAAGCTGTTGGCTGAGTGTTTTTGTGAGAGATTGTTGCATCCATATGGGTCAAGCCCAAAAAGTTCAAGCATAATGGTGGAGTGAGACGGCAAAATAACCTGCACAAATGCAAGAGGCAACAGCATTTGAAACAATTTCTTGTACTAAAAATATTAAGAAATCATAACTGGATATATCACCAAATCACGATATACAGCTCATTAGGATTTATACCTATATGATTATAAATGAAAGAACATAAATGGAAGTTTCATGGACATTTTAAATTGACTATGTGACAAAATCTGCAAAATATATGCCACATACTCACATGCCACTGAAAAGGAGACTGTACGCATCTGTCTGATGATGTGAAGCTAAGTAATAATAGTTAAATACACGGATCCTGAAGACAGTAGAGTAAACACAGATACTTAGGAAAAAGATGGTAAGAAAACAGGCCATCTAGGGGGGAAAAGAAAAAGTTGCTTGAATGTAGAACTCTACTAAAGGTTTTAATGCATTCAGCACATGGTCTGTGCACGCAACAGGTTGACTGCAGTCTAATTTTTATTTGACATGGGACAATAGCATCAGCTCTGAGAAGAGCTTCAGGAGTTTTTTTGACTAATCTGAATTGAGAATGATACTTGTAACATTCTGCACTTCATATAAGCTAACACAACTGACCCTACGAACATTTATTCTACTTCTTTTTGTTATGTAAATGAAATTGCTGTAATTGCCTCGATAATTACTATGACTGATTTGAAATTTATTCCCACAAAAAGTGACAAAAATAAGTGTTTTCAATTCAGCCTATTTTGTTACTATACTGGAATTTTTCAGCTCAGTTCCTTTACCGATAAATTTGTGCACGCATATGCTAGCCACACCTGTGACTGGATTTCTGGTCAGCAGCAAATTCCTGTTTAGGAAAGAGAGGTCACACACATGGTTGATTACACACAAAGTCTAAACACCTAAGCTCCAAACTAATGTTTCACAAATTACTCTACGCATGATATTCAAGCTCAACTGGGTCACACCTTCACCCCGTATTGGAGAGTTGTAGGAAGTGGCAAAAGGCAGACTCCCTCCACAGAAACAAAGTTGGGTATTACATATTTTAGAGACCTTCTGAAAGTTGATAGATTATTTAGAGACTTCTTTTTAAATCAATCTGGTCTACTATTATTGTAATAACAATTTATCTGAAAAGGTTTTTGTTGAGTGATTATCTCAAACTTACCTCTATGTATATATAATTATATGTCTTTTCTGCCAGCTGTATGAAAACTGCAAATAGTGATAAAACTGGTTTTGTGCTGAAAAACGTGCACTCAGACCACACAACAATTACAGAGAACGTGGCCAGAACAACTGCAAGCACCCTGTAAAACCACGGTCGTAGAAGACATTCCCAGTACCACTCTGAAAAAAACAAACACACACACACACGGAACTGGTTAATGAAAATTACACAACCAGAAATGGAACTCCCTCACAAAAAGCATCATGAACTTCTTCCATGCACACCCTTAAAATCAAGGCTGGAATCTGTGGGGTCACGCACTTAATTTCAGGGCTTTTCAAATGCCTAGAGATCTGGCTCTTACAGGAGCCTTTAGTCATAAGGAATCACATGCACAACTGGGGAAAACAGGGTAGGATTTGGGAGGCAAATTTTGCAAATGGGTTTGGGGGGGTGGGGGGTGTAGAACAGAACTCTTCACTTTTGGCCCAAATACTATGGGTGATCCACTTTTTGTTTGTTCATCTGTTACTCTCTCAGAAACAAAGCCTAGGCTGTAAAATTATATTGTCCTACCCTGGAGATAACTCATTGCTAGTGCACAACAAATTAGAAGTTAAAACATGGTTAGGCGATGACACTTTCTAAAAAGATGCACAAGCAGCTACACGTCCTAATGTTTGGTACATGACAGACGAAGAGTTCCTTCCTCTTTGCTTTACTGGAAGAGCAGTACCACCTCAATAATATCGCACAAATGTAGAAGGCAGCCATGATCCAACTATTTAAAGTTCTATTTTCTTTCTTCTTCTAAGACTTCAAAGTTTGCTACTTCTATTACAACATGTAACTGCTATTAAATTTGTAAGAACAATTAAGCTTATGGTCAAAACCATAAATCAATACCTGATGACTATTCCATTACATAAATGCATTAAGATGCACATTTGCTTCCCTCTACTGTAACTGAACTTTTTACATAAAACAATCAGTTCTTCTTACAAAATGGTACCAGTTACTCCTTCACATATTCGAAATCTGCATGACAGCACTTACCAACAGTTGGTGTGTAGAAATACTGAATAATTTTATTCTCTGGTTCCTGGGAATGAAAGGTATGAACAAACTGTCGAGTTGCACTGGTTTCATTTTTTGCCACATCTTCTAGGTAAAATGCTTGTTCTAAGAGAATTTGCCACTGGACCTGTGTACGACGATGTCTCTGTACTGAATAGATCACCTACAATAAATTCCAAGAAATTATGGTTACAACATAGCTGTTTCAAGAAACAAGAGAAAAGCTTTGCAAAATCCCTTAAAAATATCTACATAATAGAATTGCAAAGATTAATTCTGCATACTCACAAAAGCAGGCGGATAGTTCTCTGAATACATAAACCATAAGAGGACTACAGACATGATTCCTGACATTGCAGTTCTTTCATCACAATCTGTCTGTAGCAATAACAGCCTGCTTTTCCCAACATACCACTTTATTTTTGCATCTTAGTGAATACCAAGCTTTTACTACAATTTCTTTTTTAGAATGCACTGTCACTCAACCATTACAAGGCTTACTCACAGACAGTTAAAACACTTGTTAAGATAGAACGCAACACTTTTTACACATCCGGAAATTTGATCTGGACATCACTTGGGATATTAAACTTCTGTGTTTTCTTTCACTGAGAAAAGTTTCTGTTAAGTAGCAATACCAAAACCCACTATACTCAGCAATTCAGGTAAAGCGCATTGAAAATCTTTGTTAGACTATCATTTCTTCTCATTACATTAGCATAAGTGAGGCATTCTCTCATTTATTAATATACCTGCTTGTGAAGTTTGACCAAACTTTTTTCACTTGGATAACTGTTCTGTCTTTCATCAAAATCTTCATAATCATCCATGTTCCTACCCATTCTTTCCTGGTACTCAGTAGGACACTGGAAGGGAAAGGAAAAATTAACTGGAAGATGAAAGGGTAGCAAGTGCTCTTTGTTAATTATTTGTAAATGTTTGGGACATTTCATGTAACTGAAAAGTTCACTCTAAGTGTAGATTTTTCTGTTTCTAAAATACTACATATGTCAAAATACAGCAGATAACTACATACACCACAAGAAAGCATTCCGCAAAGAATTTCCACTCCAACTCTGGTCAGAAACTCACAAGATGCCAATTTGAGATTGTATGTTAAGGGGAAAAGATAACAATGTACAAATATGCAGTAGGTGCAGGAAGCACCCCCTCCCAATTGAACAATTATGGCTGGAGATGAGAAATTTGTTACCTTTTTCAGTATTGTATCAACACATTTTCTCAAAGGGTGGTTATACTTGATACTCTCACTTACTTTACGGACTTCCTGTTGACGAAAAAAAATAAAGACTTGTTTCATTATGTTAAATAGATTAAAAAATTTTACAGGGTCAGATAAGAGTACCAGCCCTCCCAATGGCAAAGATAACCATCAGAGCTTAAAAACAACAGAACTTCCTAAAAGCCACAGCTCTACTAGACATCTAATAAAAGACAACTGAAGGAGTATTTACAAAGAACTTCTATGTATTTTCAAAAAAACCCCACGTTGTCAGTGCACAAACATTACTCTGCGAATGTATGGAGGATTGGTTTCTATGCATGAATGTTGAAATGGAAAATACTTTATTGTTTTAGTTGTACATAAAGTGAAGGAGTTTCTATCTTACCTGGTTTAGTTTCACTTTTATTACTTTAAGCAGCTTGATGAATACCATTTTACACTACTTCATTTGATATCTTCCTCACATTTATCTCCACATAGCTCACTTCTGAGGCCATCTGGCATTTATCAGTAATAAAAAGATGCTACCTAACAGCTAGATAAGTTGTGTCAGAACTGGCTGTAGCAGTTTATCAGGATCACTGAGAACTAGATTTCATTCTTCATCCTACTGGCAACCCAGAGATAACCTTTTGCTCTTTTTTGTTGTTACAAACAGCACTTCAAAAAAAAAAAAGATGTAAGTTCTAGAGTCTGGAGGACAGAAATATTTGTAAAGGCTTAGAAGTCTTGTCAAATAGGATGATTAGCAGATAGAAGAATTGTATTTGTTTAGTGTGACAAGGGAGCCTAAACGGATATAGACGGTCCTTTGACATATAAAAGGCTGTTCTAACAGATGACAGTCAGTAATTCTGGATTCCCTCTGAATCTCCAGACAGAATGATCACAAGAGATCTGATGAGTCTGTGGCAAAGAATTTTTCATTATGTAGTGGGATTATGAAAAACAAACAAACAAACAAAATCCTGCAAGAATGTCTGTAAGGGTCAATCCTAACATATTCAGTCCTGTCAAGTAGAACACTGGACTGGAAAAAATTAAAAATAAAAAACCGGGAAGTATCCTCCAGTACTACAGTTTCGTGTGTTTTCAGAATTTCTGATAAAGGAAGAAAACAAAAGCCTAAAGTGGGTGAGAACTAAAATTCTGTGATTTACTTGACACAGCAACAATTCATAATATTTACAATCAAGTTCTCTGAGTTGGCATTGCGATTCTTAAAGAATTTCAAATATTTTCAAACACTGCCTATGAAGGTTGAAAATAAATTATTGGCCAAGATTTCTAAGGTATTGTACAAATGTTTCTACACTGAAAAAAAAAAAAAAAGTGGAAAAAACAAGTGAAGTGCCAAACCTTGAAACAAGGTTTTATCACACATTAACAATATACTATATTTTATGTTGTGTATGACATAACATCAGAATCTGTCCGTCACCCTACCTGACTTAAAGGACAATCTAGTACAAGACAGCGGTCTAGTACAAGATCCTCTTTTCAGGGAAGTCTGCTGCCTCCCTGGGTCCTAAATTAGGGACGTCACCACAGGACTGAAGATCTTAGTACAACCTTCAGACTACTCCCATTCCTCCTCTGTCCTGTGGGTACTAATGACGTCAAAACAAAAAGTCTGAGGTGGATTAAGAGATTTCAGCACCCTGGGAAGAATGCTAAAAAATTCAGAGGCACAGGTAGTGTTTTCCTCAATCCTCCCAGTAATGGGGGAAGACTTTGGAAGAAAGAGGTGAGCCCAGGATATCAATACCAGGCTCCATAACTGCTGCCTCCACCAAAACTTTGGGGTTTTGAATCATGAAAGAGCCTTTGAGGCACAAGGTGTGCTGTGTTTAAGGGAACAGAATAGAACAGAATAAAGTATTTTCTACTCCAACTGCCTGATGACTTCAGAGCCAACCAAAAGCTAAAGCATGTTATTAAGGGCATTGTCCAAATGCCCCTTTAAACACTGACAGGCTTGGGGCATCAACCACCTCTCTAGGAAGCCTGTTCCAGGGTTTGACCACCCTCTTGGTAAAGAAATGCTTCCCAATGTCCAGTCTAAACCTCCCCTGGTGCAGCTTTGAACCATTCCCACGCGTCCGGTCACTGGATCCCAGGGAGAAGAGGTCAGCACCTCCCTCTCCAGGCATTTGGACATTGCTCTTAGTAATTTAGTTTAACTTCTGGTCAGCCCTGCAGTGGTCAGGCAGTTGGACTAGATGATCGTTGTAGGTCCCTTCTAACCGAAATATTCTATTCTGTTCTGTTCTATTCTAAGTGCTAGCTTGGTAAACATTTTTGTTGCTCATTTTCTAGTAAGTTTTGTAGTTATGTCCCACTCTGATGTTTATAGCAATTTCTTCAAAATTGTGTCACCAAAGAATGAAGATTCTACTACTACTTTATGTTTACGTGTTGCAGAAGAAGTTACCATCCAACTTTAAAACTCTTCAGAAGTATTATTTCCAAGCCATGGCATCAGAGCAGTAGAACAGGGAATAGCTATTCAATGGGTTACATTTCCATTCTATTCTTGAACTACATTACAGCCTATTGCTCACTCACAAATAACAATAAATATAGTCTCAAAAAAAACTCTTTAAAAAAACCAATGCTCTATATAGTCTCTTCTCAAAAGGCACATAGCATGGTCCTGCAAATCCAACTTGGAAACTCTGCCCAAGATTCCAGAAGCACACTGTGAGCAGAGCAGAAAAGCCAACATACACAATTTGCATGAACACTAGTGAAACATCTGTACACCTTATTTGCAAGATCACTTTGGAATGTTACTCATTAGCGACCAATATTACTCCAAAAGGGTCAATAAAAGAATAAAAGCATCAAATAATGGCTATCAAGTTGCCAAGTTCTTCATATCAGGGACTATTTCTCTTTTAATTTTTACGCAGGATCAAGTGTCATCAAGCATGACACACTATGATGATTTTCTTAATTTACTGATATTTCACAGAAGTTCATGCTACTTACGTTTTCTTGCCACAAGTGCCCAACACCAGAAAATTCAGAGATGATTAACAGCAGCCTCCACTTATTTCATAGCGAAAGCTAGTTACCTACCTCCATGATATCCTCTAAATTCTCCTCCGCATCTGCTTTTTCAGTCATCAGTTTGGCAGCTTTGAAATAGGTCTTCATGAGTAGATAACCCCTCTTGGCCCCATTCCAGTGAGAACGGGGAATCTCCACCAAACCATAACCCAAAAGCAACACAAGAAGAAAGAGACCCCATGTGTTCGCAGCGGCTATCCCAATAGTCTGAAGCTGGTTCCTAAGGAAAAAACGAATAGCAAAAACAAAAAAGAAAAAACAAACAAACAACATCCTCCTACCCCACCCGCAAGAAAGCAGCCTTGAAGTATCTATGCACCAATGTGGCTTTCAAGTTTACAGGAAGAGACATAGCATCATCTGTTGTTCTTGCCTAAGGCCAGTCTGCTACTTGGCCGTATTTAAAGCTGCCACGATTTTTCTGTATCTCCCCATGTTTCTTCCCTCTCTCGAGGGAAGACAAAAATGTTTGTTCTTAAAGGGGTATGTTCCTTTAGGAAACAACATGAACTTAGCAAACCTACTAAAAGTTAGGTGCACGACAGTGTTTGCTACTGTATCTAGTACAGAAGACCATTAGCCATGTTATAAATACCAATTATTTTAACTTACCTTATGGCCTTTAAATAGAATCTACAGTAGACAGAAGTGCTACACAGGAAATACTGACAGAGACTTTTTGAAAGATGTTATTCTGAAAACACCAAGAAAGTTCCTGCACTAACTTTGCAAACGCATTTGTAGGGAGAGAAAAAAATAAAACATTGCAAATACAAGACGATTCCTCTGCCATACATACCAAAATCAGAAAACCAAAAGACAGATTTCTATAAATAGTGAAAAAAACCCTTTCCATAAAAAAGTTAACAAAACCTTTCAACTGGCTAGCAAAAATCAGATCAACTAAAATTGTTTTTTAAGAAAGACCTGTTTCATCTACAGAAGAGATCACCCATGACAATTTCGTAAGAACTCATGCAAGCGCTTTAAACATTATTCTTACCATTGTAAATTGAAGTTTGGGTTTACAGCCACATATATTAAAAATGCTCCAAAAATCAGCAAGTAAGTCCCATAATAGATTGCATTCTCAATCAATGCAGTTTTAATCTTTCCAGTAATGGAGAACCCTCCTGATCTAGCATATGACTGCATGAAAGGTAGCAGAATCCTAGGAGGAAAGTAAACAAAACCAAACCACATCAGCCAATGGGAAAAAAAAAACCTATTAGTTTAGCAGTGGCAGGATACTGAGACAGAGGTGTTGAAGCTAAAGACTCAGAAGCTTCTAAGAAAATTAGCTAGTTACATATTTTTATTCTAGATGTACTGGTCTGATGGCAAACCTTAAACAAGCTGCACATAAAAACAATACAGTTAGCTTTACTATGCAAAATATGTTAATCGAGAACTCACTACCACCCCTGACATTCTTGACTGAGCTACAAAAATAATTATTTGATGATAGGTTGGTCAGAACCACACATCAGTCGAACCCAAAAGCACAGACAATCGTTTTGCTTTAGCTATATCTATAGCTTTACATAGTATATCCACCAAAACCAAATCATTTACAATATTACTCAAAAATTACCCAACTTATTAATGGAATTATTTTGGTGTCCTGTTGCCTAAACCCCATTTTTTTTTCAGACAATCTATCCATTAACACCTCTGTGTGTAATCTGCTCAGTTTCAACTATAAAAGTGAACCAAGAGTAAATGGCTGCCATCTGAAAAGGAGCAAGAAAAAAAAAGTACACTCAATTTAGTACAGTATTTATTAGAGATAAATACAGTAATTATTAGAGATATTTCACTGCTCGCAAATAATACATGATTAGATAGCTCTGTGGAACAGTGATATATATTCTTCAAGAGTATGCTATGACTGTTACGAAGTTGCACTTAGAAATTATACCTATATCATAGTCTTTGCCATATTCATTTGCCTTACTTACCATGTTAAAAACTGTGATGTCCAATATACCACACGCCAGAAAATTGGCATAATTCCATTAGGAATGTAACTCCATGGTTTGAAACATTTTTGCTTGCTGTAACAATGAAAAGAAACTTATTGTTAGTTGCAGGGCCAAGAGTATAGAAAACACTTTCTATGAATTCCCCTATCTAGAAAGGTCTTTGAAAATAGCATAGAAGTAATACACTACTATTTGAGTAAGCAGTCAACCATCAACCATCTCAGAAGAGAATAAACTGAATCACTACTTAAAAATATTAATCATTCTCCTCACCGCAAATAACACATCTGGACAAGTCAGCTTTCTTAGAGAAAAAAATAGTAGCTCAAAGAGAAATAAGCAATTAAGCTATTTAAGGTTACAATTTTTCTTTTGGGGCAGGAAGTACTTTCTTCATGCAAAGAAAAAGACATTTCTGTAGACAGAAGACCATTCAACTTTAGTTAGTGCAGCAGGTTTTTAAAAAATATTTAGGGACCCCATCACCTAACTCTACTACCTAGAACATTTAGGGGTAAAAGAAGTACATTGTTTCTTCTGTCACCCAGCTGGATTTAGTCAGGCTTATACGAACTTTGACTTGTTGAGCCAATACTTTTCTGACAGGTAGTGTTTGCTTCAGAAGACCAGAAAAGCCATGAGAGCCTTTTAGTTAAAAAAAAAAAAAAAAGAGCAAAAGACGAAGTGTCTATCCACACTAAGACACTGGGTTTTTTTCCCCACATCTGTCTGGGTAATGAAGCAATGGTGAGTCAAGGGGCAAGACAGTCAATTTAATATGAGTATCTATTGAGAAATAATTGGTGTTTTCCAGTGTCAAACTAGTTAAGCCTGAGTTGTGAGTTTCTAAGTATACAGCCTAAATATTTTCAAAACTATCAAATTACCATAGAGTGACAGGCAGTGTGACTAAAGCTTTCAAAAAAGTTTTAAGATCTGAGCTGCACCAACACAGTATCTGCTCAATTACTACTTAAGTCGATATTTCTATTTGCTATACTCAAGTCATATACCATAGTATAACATCCATCAGCATGTTCTGAAACTACAGGTAAACTGAAAGGCTATTGAATAGTTTTCAAACTGTGTATTTACATGACTATGTTTAATTAAAGTACACTGGGTGGTCTTAAATAAAGGACAAAATGTTGTGCCACTAAGTCTGGCATTTTACTGGTCTTCCACAGATATAGCACATTCAGATAGCCTCAGCTTTGGGGCAACAAAACTGGCAATCCATTGCATGGACATATCAACTGACATCTTAAATGCTCTGATCATCTTACAAATAACTACGCTGCACACATCTACAAGATGCGGAAATAGCCAATGGAGGCTAAAGAATGAGCAGCCATGCAAAGAGCCCATATTTGCCTACATTCCCCATGTTTTAGAGGTTACTTCCTTACTGTCAGAAGACAGCAAGCAGGCTATTGTTACTTTGGTAGAATATAGTAAATTTCAGATAACTCCAATTACTATATATATGCAATTATAATAAGCAATTAGATATGCTGCTTATATATAAGACAAGCCTCCTAATTTCATTCATAAGGTATAAAACTAGATTTTCCCTCACCCTCCTGTATGCTTACAATCTTCAAATGTCATATCACACAGATAACACTTGTTTATTAGTCTTAAAAACACAGTACACTCCTATCATTTAAAAACAACCAAACAAACATAAAATTATTTAAAAATATTCTAATTAAGAAAACATACAGCTGATACCTTGGAGCAAGAGTAACGTAAGAGCCATTACTTTCTGCAGGGCTGGAGTTAACAGCAAGTTTGCACCGATTATAAATAGTCTAAAAGACAATTAATTTTATATCAGTGACCAGAAAAAGGTACATTTATTTTAAAATAGCAAGTCCCATTTTAAAAGACATTTCCTGTTCTCCACATTTACACTTGGGAGCAATTATACTAATAAACCCTCAAAACAACATGCAATCTGTAGGACAAGTAAGTAAAAAACTGGAAGTGTTTTAATGTTGCTTAAACAGATAAAAAATTGCTATAAACAAATGAAATTTTAAAACATTTGAAATAGATTTGTTATCTGATGAGATCAACAAAAAATAAAATTAATTGTAAAAACAGACACTATCATGCAAAAAGGTAACAAGTGTTAGTTTAATAAGATACTATTTGGAAAATTTAATTGCTGTTTAAGATATTGTCTTCTGAAATTATCATTAAAAAAAATGCCATATACATTTTACGCAACTAAGCAGAAAATTTCACAAGCTTCTTACCGTACTGACATCCAGAGGCAGTATAAATACAATAAGAAAGCAAAGATACCAAGCCAATAATGTTGCTACGATCACCAGCCTATGCTGTTTCTTGAAGTCTCCATACCGATGAAGTAGGAACAAGGCCAGAAAAAAGACAAATACTATCTCAAGGCCCAACGCTGCACCACTCATTATTGAAAATTCACTCCAGCCACACAGTGCAGCTCACTTAAGAAAGCAGATCAAAACTGTAAGACAAAAAGGCATTTAATTACATTAAAATCTCTGGAAGGTATTTACGCAGAAAAGAGTTGTTCAACAGACATTTTTAAACATATTAACAGACTTTTCTTATTTCACGACAAGAACTCTGATCAGATGAAGAACAAGACTTTCAGCAAGGTGCTTTAACATCTTCTGCAAAAAATCAAAATGTCATTCCAATTTTGTCATTTCTAGGAACATATTAGGACAACTCCTCTTCATCTTCTTGATACACAACAGATCCAAAAGTCAAATCTCTGTCCTTCAATAAGACTATAAGTCCATCTTTTAAGTACAGTACAAATTCCAAAAGAAAATCTATTCAGCTCTTTTTTTCCTTTTAGAAGAAATCAACTAGTTTGGACAAAGGGTTAAATGTTTAAATTAAATGTTTCTGGAAAGCTTTGTTAATGGATCGTTCCTCAAAACTATGCATTTAAATTCTGCACTCAGAGTTAACAGAGCATAAAAATACAGCAAAGCATATGTTAGTCTGCTTGTGAGGTACCTCTTCTAGGTTTGAAATTTCATGTAATAAGAGACAACATGCTAGCTAATTCACCTTCCTACCACTCTTCTGTTCTTCTTCAGAGCAACAAAGGTCTCAATTCATTTGTTATTAGTCTTGCCATGACATATTTTTGCTTTGCTCATCATTCTGGGTTTAGGTACTCTGTGTTATAGTCAGGACTGCTAGCAATGCCTAAAAAGTTCATACATCTTCAAAGAGGCATGCTACTATGTAAAGGGCCAGTGAGCTGCACAAATCTATTAGAGAAAATTGCATTGACTTATTACACCGTTAGGTAAACTGCTTCTGACCTTTTTGATAACCATCATTTTACCACAAGCACATCATACTTTAAAAAAAAAAAAAACCAACAAATCAAGAAAAAGTTTATTACTCTGGTCAGGTTGACTTGCTTCTCCACCAAGATTACCATTTTAGCTGGTTTGATTTAACTGAAATAGTTTTTGCCATGGCTTCCCCACTGTTGTATTTTCAGTGCTTTCATTTTTTATTGGAACTTTAGAGATTTAAAAGAAATGGTACTACTAAAAGTTCCCTCAATTTACTTTTAAATACCTTCATAATTTGTTAAAGTGAACCATTTCCTTTACTAATCTCTCAGTATATTGCTTAAGCAGATCTGTTACGTATGAGGGCACTAAGCAGTGAAAATTGTCTTATTTCCACTAAAAAATTCTGAAGTTTGTAATGCCAGTACTTCCTTGGGCAGACACAGGACAATTATTCTGTGATTTTTCCCTGAAGATTTGTTTCCCCTCATTTTGCTACTTTCACATTTAATTCCCAAATAGCAAGAGCAGTCTGTTTACTCCATATTGGCTGTTATACACAGAGCACCCCATATTCTGAAAACAGCTTGAGTTACCTTGCTGTTTCTTCTCAAGGATGCACATACTTACTTTTTATCTTCTGCCTTTCATCTAATGTGTTTCTCAAATTATCAGCATTTCTGTTAGGTCAAAGCATCCCCTTCCTATCTGCCTGTACTACATTTTGGCTAGATCATTTGTAAATCATGAATGCAGGATATCTAACCTATTTCTCAATCACTTATTCTAAGCAAGTGCTTGTCTATTCTATTGTATCATCCTTGTTTCCTCAGAAAACAGGTTTTTTTATTGATAGTATAGTAGCAGATTCCACCAAAAAAATGAATGGGAAAGAAATACTATATGTCAGCTTTACTAAGGCAGTACTATCTGACATATGTAGCTTTCGGTGCCCATTATAGCCACACCTTATGCTAGGTAAACAAAAAAATTATACAGCATACCGTCCATTAGTCACACCTATACAATTTTTTACTACAGTCACATCTAAAAGGCTGCTATCAAAACAGAAGGTGAAAAGTTTTTGTGCAAGATGCTGTACTCAGTTACTACCATGAGGGAACTTCCAAAAAGATTAAAAACACATACTGAATATGCTAAAATAGAGAGGAAATTGAGCCGTACCACTTTCAAAGCCAAAAGCAACTTTGCAGTTACCAAAGTAAACTACATTTTTCTGTTCTTCACCTGGTTCCTATTTTAACCTCAAAATACAAAATGAAAGGCCTAATTTTTACAAGACTGAAACTGATGAGAAGTAGAGTTGTTCTGAAATAATGTATACACATTTCCAAAATTACAGTTCAAAATTTTTAGACAGATACCACTTAAAACTAGTTTTCAGCACAAATAGCTTAAATGGAAAAAAAATCCACAAGGTGAGAAATGCAATGCTTGAGAGGAGCTCTTACTGTGAACTAAATGCTGCCTAATCAGACAGCTGCATTTGGGACCCGCGCTACTAGAATTGTTTGTAACAGAACTTAAAATATATTACTGCAGGCTATAAAGCCATGCCTTCCTGTGGGAAGCAGCCTTTGCCTCTGAACCTGGTTGTTAGCTCAAAGAAAGGTAAGTTCCTTATCCATAATTCTGTTTCTTCATTTTATTTAGACAGGCTTCTCACTATTAGCACACGGCTTCCTACTATCAGCTGGCTGAAATTCCGGAGCCCCTGAAGAATGTTCTCCTGCAAGCACCATAAAGGGCTCAGTTCACACTTAATTCCCTTTGAGACTCCCTACTATCAACAGTATTAAATTACCGTGCCAACCTCAAGACTAGCCACACTCATGATCATCTACATTACAAATGAACTAACTACTCTGCCTGGTACAGAAATACTCAAGTAACTAAATGAAACAGCAGAGAATTAAAACCCACACTTTCCTAGAGCTTTTATATAGCACCAAATTTAACAAAGACACTCCAATATTATATTCTTAAAGAAGGGCTAAAAAGAGTAGAGTATATCTGTGAAGCACACTGGTCTCACTAAACTGGACTCCAATACCCCTTTAATCAGAAATCCCAGACTGTACCACAGCTTTATTCTTTTCAGACATTGCAGGAAAGCATTTTACCAGCAGATTGTTCATTTTGCAGACCAATGTAATTGGTCCTTCAACCCTTCCCCGTCAGCCCAATACCACGCTCTCTGCAGAGTTCTTGGTGCCGCCCTTGACCCTGCCCAGCGTACCCACTTCCTTCTGCACTGAGCGGCAACCCACGCAGCAACACAGCTCATGCCTGACAAGGCCTGAACCGAGGGTAGACATTGCTTCCACGTGCCTTACTGAAATGTATACATAGAACCATAGCCTGCATGATGTTCCCTTCACGTATTCGGTTTATTACGCCCTCCAAATTCTTCCCCTCCAAGACACACAACACTGTTCTCTATCCCATATTTCTGTAGTTGATTGCTCCTGCTTAAGCGCAGGCACAAAACTCTACTCATTTGTACCTCTTCCCCTCCCACAGGCTTCTGAACCTTCAAGGCATTTTGATTTCCATTACCACACTCAAAAAGGTCTGCAATCCCTCCTAGCTTTGTGCTTTTTTAAGTTTTAATAATCATATTATTTCATTATGGAAACTTTGTGAAAATACTGAGGAGTAGTTTACAAGGGACTGGCCTCCTTAATCACAACAGTAGCTGTTCCCAACTGTTCTTCCCCAGCAAAAACATCCTGAGAAACAGAATCAAAAGTCCCATTAAAGACCAAATATAAGACATCAACTGATCCTCTTGTATACGGCAGGCCTATCAGTGAAATAAGTTAGATTACTTCAACAATTTGTCCTTGACAAGCTGATGCTGTCTTTTACTCAGCTGTTACATTCTAGATGCTTACATAAAGCTTTTGTTCCAGAATTTTTTTTCCGGAATTCAAAAGGAAGCAGACTAGTCTTGCAATCTGTAGTTCTCCCTATCCTTCAAAAATCAGTAATAAAGACAGTCACCATGCTTCTGGTTTTCATATCTTTGGTACCTCTAGTCATTTTTAGAATACTACATTCTTTTTTTGTTGTTCTTGAAGTATTCTTTGATAAAGATCAAACAGATTTGGAAAAGTTACATTTCTAGCAATCTTGGATATTTCAGTTGAAACACCTGAAGGACAAAGCAGCTAGAGGTTTCCTTGCCTTACTCTGTATTTTAAACACCACAATTACATCTGAAAAAAAAAAAAGTCGCCATGAAAGTTACCAAACTATGAAAGAGATATCAAAGACAGTAAAGGACAAAACTGAGTGAGAGACACAGCATACCGAAAGAAACATCTGTGCGACAGCATCTCCCACCTCAAGCTGAATTCACAACTCGGCAGCAAGTATAACTGAAAGCTGCCATCTCCAGCAAAATATCAATGGCCGGTTCAATGATGACCTTTTGCCCTTCTGCCAGGGAAGAATCTGCTAGTTCCCATCTAGTTTCTTCCAGCACATTTCACTTGGCAAAAGAAAAACAGTATGCCGCAACACCTGTGATAGGTTTCTGAAGCTCGCCCTACTCTGTAAAACGGTGCTGTTCAGAATCGTAAAGTAAGACTTCACTTCACAGACATGATTAAACCTTTTGGACTGATAGAACTGCCCCACACTAAGAGCCCTTGTCACTTCATCTTTCAACAACAAAATGGGCAAACTTCACACTTTAGAAATCTTAAAAAGAGAAGAACAAGAGGTCAAGCAACAATAAAAATAATCGCTTCAGCTGTTTTCATATCCAAGTCTGCTTAATGTGTTCTTGGGCTTTCTTTTTTTGTTTGGTTCTGGGGTTTTTGTTGTGTTTGTTTTTTCCCACTTCCTTATTACACATTGACCCTTGCAGCCTGGGGAAATGGTATTTATATGAAGTATATATTAAGTATTCATAAGCAGATAACAGGCAGATGAAGAACTGCTTAATCTCAGCACAGTGAGAAAACTAACTAAAGAAAGAAAATAGCCATGAACTGCCTGAGAAAACTGACCAGAGAAGTTACCTGATTGCACTATTTGGGAGAAATAACCTCTGAGATGAATCAAGAAAACATATTTTGCAAAGCTTTGTTTTTCTA